TTTATAAATTAATATTTTTAAATATTATAACTATTAATTTAAAAAAAATTATAAATATCAATTAAATAAAATACAATTTTAATACTCTTAATGAAAGAGTTGACTCGATAAACACCTGTTTTTTAGACATAAAAACTAATACTACCAATTAATAAAAGTTGATAATAAAAACTAGAGTAGTAATATTTTTTGCATGTAGGTAACAAAAATGGAATTATCAATTAATAAAAATTAATATTTTTGCACGCAATGATTTTGTATGTATATATAAATATCATCTCCGTACATTTTTAATATATAGTTTACTTTATAAAATACTTTTTTGATTGTACAAATAGGGACATATAACTAATTAATTAGTATGCACATTATCATATAATATTCATAAAGCGAAAGAATCAGCATTCCTTGTACACATTAATCCATCAAAGTAATAACCAATTTTTTTTTTCATCAATCTCGTAATAATCATATAAAATAAACACTACAGTTAGCAAATCGAAACTCAAGTAGTGGTCTGACTAAACCTAAGTGCACCCGTATGGATTCTGCACGTCGTGCTGGCCGCATGAACCAACCAGTGGCTTGAGGGAACTGCACAATAATCTCTTCATCATCACCCACCACATCCACGTCCCTTGCAGTGTCATGCATGTTGTAATGACCAGCCTACATAATATAATTAACTAGCTTATATAGTTAACCGAAAAATACATTTTAAGTGTATGGCCCATGTGAAGGTTATACAGCTTGTCATACCAATGAAGAATATGTTTGAACGAGTCCAAGTGCTTCCGCTCTTATCTCTTGATGAGTAACTCTCAAACGTAATTCGTCACTAGGACCTACAAAAGATATCTCTTGTATAATTAGTACAATAGTAAAGGATGCTGATAAAAAAACGAAAAAAAGAAAAGAAAAAAGAAGAAATTAAGGTGGTTTAAGTTTCCAACAACTCAAGCCAGAAGGAAACCTGCACCAGGAACTGGAAGCATCATCCAAAGACAAAGTAGTGTTTTTCAAATTCTTACCAGCTCGCAGTTGTGGTTGCAATTGCATCTCACGATAACACCTTTTAAAGAACCTGTGAAGCACCCTGCTGCTACTAAAATTTATGTATCGATGATCAGTGGCCTCAAGTTCAAGCACATTATTGATTCGCTGATCTGCACCATTAGGTATACCCACAGTCTCTATGGACCGTGTGGTATACATACGGCCAGCTGAAAGAAAAGAAAGATATATCAACATTATGCATAGTTTCACATTTAAACAATAAGCAATTGAAGTAAAAAATCAAAAAGAGGCATGCATATTATGTTGAAAATTTTTCAAATTGCTGTGTTACGAGGTTGGGAAATTGTAGGAACCTCTAGCTAATTTATATTCTGTGTTAGCGAAAGCATAGCAAAATGAATGCTTCATCTAGTCTCTTTCTTAGAACATTATTGTGCTCTTCTTATTCTTTACTCAATTAGTTTCTCTTCTCCTCTTGGTTCTTCTCCATTCTTTCTCTTGGTACAAATTAAAAACACTAGCTTGAGTCTTAAGTGTACATTCAGTAAATGCAATATATTGTATTCTCTACTTAATTATCTAGTTAATTCTCCACTGGCTATTAACATACTAATCTTCTTATAGAATATAAATGCTACGTATCACTCAACATTGAGAAGAACCCATGCACACATAGCAAGCATATGAATTCCACAAAAATGCTGCTTACCTTGATACCAAACCCAGATGCGATCCGAAGTAGATCCCTCATTGTCAACTATGATGGTGAAACGGGAATTACCTCTCATGTGAGGAGCTAGTAAATTATAAAATCGGAAGATATCCACTCCCACTGTCCTTCCCGCTGTTGTACGGGCATTGAAGTTCTCGAATAAACCAGCAGAGATCCTTACAATGTGCCATTGATTGTTAAAATGAACTGCAATTGACAAACCAGCCCTTGAAACTCTGAGAAATGAAGATGTTTGTATATTATTTGGGGGAAGAATCATTTTAATGGCACGACTTATGTTCTCATGTCTGTCCCCAATCACGCCAATCATCTGCAGAAACATATCTCAAACTCTTATATAAAAGAATTTCTACACATAAATATAGATTTTCAGCCCATCATACCAACAATGCTAAATTAATCACTTGAATATGCTCATAATTAATTAAAAAGAATTAAAACATTAATCTAAATTTAAAAGATAAGACTTGACGCCCTTGTACTGATTTGATTAATAATATTATTGCCGTTCAAAAAATTAAAAAAGAAAAAGATAAGACTTGAAGAAAATATAAAATTTAGAAAAAAATAAAAATCAAGACCATCCTAACACTTTAAATATTAAAATTTCTTGTGAAATTATTTAAATACTTTTAATAAATTTTTTATGTATTAATTTATTAAAAATATTTTAAGCTTTATAATTATTCTTAATATTTTAATTATCAAAACATAGTAATTTTCATCGATCCCTAAAATATAAATCCGTACACTTCTAATTCTAAACAACACGTCAATATATCTAGAAAATTCTTTGCCCAATATGCAGTGGAACCAATACAAGGTAGAGAACTGAGGACCACAAAAACACCAGAAGAAGTAAATAATAGAATGGGAAGTGATTCAACAATTACTTTATCTCAAAGTACATTTAAACCATTAAAAACCAGATCTTTGTTACATACATAGAAACAATCATCTATTAAATATCTAGGTATGTGCCTGGGGTTTTTGGTTACTGTTGCCTAGCAAATGAACATGATGTAATCAGTTTCCCCTTGTATTCTGTCAACAAAACAATATTTTTACTGTTCGAAAAAAACAATCTGGGTATGTGCCTGGGTTAGAAAAGCTTTCAATTATGCACAAACGGAAAATAATGAAATCAATATCCTTCATATGATGGGCATCCTATTCTTATGGAAATCTGTTAGTTTAAAAGACACTTTATAAAAAAAAAAGAAAAATCAGAAAAGAAGAGCTAAAACATCACAGGATAAAACCTAGCACACTCCTACAGCTTACCTTGCTCCGGTCAGTATGACTTTGCAAACCTCGTACGGAGCCTTGAACCAATCCTCTTGAGATAGATCAGGCCTTATTTTTGCCTTAATCCACTGAAAAATCTGTATTTGATTAGTTCTAATACCTGGCTTTGTGAGTCAGTTTCTTTGGCGAAGACTACTTGGTTCCTCCGTAGCCATAAGGACAAGATTACAGTGAACCATACTATAGTTTAAAAGAAACTTATATGAGGATAACAAAGAGAGAGAGGGTTGGTGACTGGAAAAAAGGAGTAGTAATACAAGATAAAGAAGAGCCCTCTGGAGCTGGATAAGAAATAGGACAAACAAAGATAAAACCACCAGAAGACAACATAAATCCCATAAAAAGGGGGATTGAAAAACAATTCTGATAGAAGTTTTCTCAAGAAAGAGCAGCACGGGGGATTAACAAGGATTACCTGCTTTCTCTTTGGGCAAAAATGCAAATCCTTTGCTTGACTGAAAAAGAGTTGAAACACTACCGAGAGGATGCAGCTGGTTTCTTCTACAGAATATCTCACTGAAAATGTAATGAAGGAAAAGAAAAATGGTGGGGAAAGCAAATGAGGAGATACTTCTGTCTCGGCTTCGTGGGGGACGTGAAAACAAAGGAAATAGCAAAGATGAAAACAACAAAATAGCAAAGGTGGAAACAACCAAAATATCAAAGGTGAAAACAAACAAAATAGCAAAAGGTGAAAACAAACAATTTAGGGATTTTTGGCAAAAACCCTTCTTAAGCCCCTAAACTTACCCAAAATTAGTATTTAAGCCCTTAAACTAAAAATAAAGCAATTAAACCCTTCAACTTCCCAACCGGTGCAAATAAGCCCTTCAACTTAGATTTGTAGCGAAAGTGCCGATACCTAGATTATTGTGTTGACACTCTAAGTAATTTTCAGTTTAAAAAACTTGTATTTTTAATTTAATCCTATTTTTTTGGTACTTCCTTTTACTCCAATTAATTTGGAATCGATTTGAGTTAGATTTCATAAAAAAAAAAACTCTTCTAGTACCTATCTCTCTATTTATAAGATACAAATTTGAAATCTTATTTAAGAAAAACCAAATTCTTTTTATTTAAACTCAAA